AAGTAAAAGAGCTGTATTTTCCCAGGAAAAACCAATCTGCTACTGAGATCATCCACAATAATAGTATTTTTTCTTTTTAATTCATGTTTACTATTAGAGACTGAGCACTGACTTTAATGAAGGCAAGATAGTATTTTGCTCCTGAAATGTAGCTTAGGTTTGTGGTGAAAATAGTTCTGTCATTATAAATACTCTTTCAGATTGCACTTTCATGGGAGGGAACCCAAGCCATGAGACCACCATACACTCCTTGATGTGCCAAATAAATATGTTAGTATGAGGGTTGGTTTGAATTTCCGCTACCATGTGGGGAGACTGAGCTCCCCCTCTGAGGAAACTGGAATTCAAACAGCTTCATAGTCTGCTTTGCACTCCCCCTCCCTTCCCCCCGCCTCCCTCCTCCCATTATGTGCACTTGGGGTACAAAAAATTCCTCCAAGGATCAGAGAAACTCAAACCTGCAGAGCAGACATAAAAGCAGCCCCAGGAGAGGACTACTGGATACTGCCATTGCTACAGATTCATCAGGTTTAAAGCCAGAAGGTGTCATCAGATCCCCTTTCTAAATCCTGCATAACACTGACCGTCACATTTAATCCGATTACCCCTGTATTGATGCCAATAACTGATGATGAGCTGAAGCATCGGGAAGGCATCCAGTTTTGACTTGAAGAGATCAGGAGACAGAGAGTCAAGCTCCTTTCTTGGTATCTTGTTCCAGTGGTTAATCACTCATCAGGATTCATGTTTTATTTCCATATTGAATGTGTCTTTAGCTCCCATAACTGGTTCTTTTGACCGCTTTCTCTTCTAGACTACAGTGCTCCTTTGGTATTCAGTGGGTGCATATACATGTGAAATTAGTGTGAAGCAATAAACTCTGGCCCAGTTTGCACTGGAGTTTATTGCTCCCAGGTGCAGCATTTACATGTGTGCCTGGGACTGCAGCATGTGGAGCTGGGGCAGCGCAGCCCTGGCTGGCAGGAAGCCCAGGAGGGTGGGGGGTGGGGGCGGTCAGCCTGCTAGCCCAGGGCTGCTCTGACCCAGTTCAACATGCTACAAAGGAGCTGGCTGGGGCATGAGGGTGCTAAAGAACAGGGCTAGCCAGTAGGCAGCCCCACACTGTAGAATCCTCATGCCCCAGCCAGCCGCAGTCACCATCTACACGTGCATTGCATGAGAGTGAATAACTCCCCCATAGAATAGTATTTGTGCTGGGCAGTACTATCCTACAGTGGAGTTAATTAATTTACTCCAGCCTAATAGGGGCACATGTGTAGACACTGATGCTTTATTGCAGAGCTAATTAGGCACCTGCAGTAAGTGTCTCATGTAGATGCACCCTATGTTTGCTACTCACTAAGGTGCACTGCATAAAACAATCCATGTAGGCATACTCCAGGTAGCTCTAGCCTGGGTGCCAGAAGCAGTATAGTTGCACTAGCATAACCCAGCAGCCAGGTTAACTTACTCTGCTGAGTACCATGCTATATTGCTTCTAGGACACTGTGCAGTGTAGACACACCCTGCATTTGTTCAACGTACGGTGCAACAGGGTCACATTTTTGATCAACTCCTAAGACTTCTGTTATTGTTGTTATTTATTTGTATTTCAATAACCCAGTGGATTAGAAATAAGAGTTGGTAAAGGAAGTAGACTGTAGATTCTGTTCCTGTCTGGTCCTTCAGCAAGCACAAGTGCTTGTTTGTCTGAAAGTCAGATGTTTCTGGGAGTGACAAAAGCAATAATTGCACAAGCAGCTTTGCTCAGATATCTTATTTTGATCATTGGAACTTCCCTGTAAATACTTTCTGTCCTTCAAGAAAGCCTTAAATAGAGGTAAGTAACCTAAATATATCTGAGGTTGAAAGAATGGATTCATCTCTTGTATCATTCTCCCAATAGTTCAGATATAGAAGATATTTCCTTTGTGAAGGCTTCAGGCAAAAAAAAAAAAAGATATCCTATAATCATCCAAATGTTACTACTGGTAGGACTTACTTCATATTAATCTCTGCAGTGGTCAATTAAAATATTTTTAGGTCATATAAACTCTTCCGCAAGGTTTCTCCATTATAGCTAAGGGACCCACCAGTTTCAGTTCTGACTGACATGGCATAAATCATACTGGCCTCTTTCTCACTCAGATAAATCAGAGTGCAAATGGCTATTCTATTATTTTTTGTAGTAATAGTAGTAGCAGTAGTATCATAGCATCCAGGGGCTGCAAGGAGAATGAGGCCACACTATGAATTATACAAACACACAAAAGATAAAGCCTTTGACTAAAAGGGCTTATTATATCACTTCCACTGGGATCTTGCTGGCATTGCGAAGAGGTATAGCTTTGCTTACTTGCTCCTATTTCACACCCACAAAACCCAGAAAGGAGGCACCCCTCCACCACCACAATGGTTCTCGAGCCCACTGAAGACAGAGAGCTCAAGGGCACCAGCAGGGGGGCACTCGGAGTGGCTTCACTACTTCGTTCCAAGTTTGGTGCATGCAGAGTGAGAAACGCTGTGCGTCTCGATGGTCCCTCTGGATGTATTGATTATTAAAGCTATTCAAACTCATATTAAATTTATATCACAGCAGTGCCTGGAGACCTAATCAGTAGCTGGGCCCCAGTGTGCTAAACATGCATAAATATACCAAGGAGGCACAGTCCCTGCACTGAGGAATTTACAATCTTAGAAGAAAACATGACACATGAAAGTTTGGTAGATGGTGAGTGCATCTATACGAGATGCTTTACTTGAAATTAGAGCTAATTACTGCACAGTAAGCCTCACCATCTACATGTACAGATGCTTACTGCACAGGAATTTGCTGTAAATTTGCAACCTTTAGATACAGGTAGCAAATTTACTCTTGTTTAGTAACTGTGCAGTAGCACATGTGTAGACGGCTGACTGGGAGCAAATGTGCTCCCAGTCAGCCATACGGCAGAAGGCAGGAAATTTCTCCCTGCCGCTAGGAGCTGCCAGGTGCTGGGGTGGGCTCCACCACCAAAGCCTGGATGGGGACTATGTCTCCCTGCCTTGGCAGCATGGAGCTCCTAGCACCCACTTCATGATCAGGGAGATTCTTATCTCCCAGCCTAGGCCCTGTGACCGTGGGGCTTGGGCTGGGAACTAAGGATGTCTCAGCCTGGGCTCCACAGCTGCAGAGCTTGGACTGGGAGATAAGAATCTCCCAGCCTTGGCCCTGCAAATTGGGAGTGGGGGCTAGGAGCTCCCTGCTGTGGGGCAGGGGGACACTGTCCTTGCCTGAGCTCCAGTGGTGGAACCTCCCTAGTAGGTGGCAGCTCCTGGGGGCAGAGAGCAATGTTCCAGCCCCCACCAGGAGACAGCGGTCTCCCCGCCCTATACTCCCTGCCAGCCTCTGGTCTAGCACCCAGGGAGAGCTAGAGTGCCCCCTGGATGCTGCAGGGGCCCACTGCAGGGCCACAGGGAGTGGGAACAGTCCGCAGCTAGGAGCAGCAAATCTGCTCCCACATTGCTGCACATATAGACACATGCCCAAGAGACCTTTCTCTAGAGTACTTTACTCTAGAGTAAATTGCTCCCGGATTATTTACATGTTTAGATGTTTAATGTGCAGTAGCCTAATAACACTGCGCAGTAGCGTGCCGGGCAAAAACCATGCTAATATACTACTACACTGCACAGTAGTATTAGGCTACCGCACAGTAAGTGTCACTAAAAAACTGTGCGTCAGGACTATTGCACAGTAACTGTAGTTACTGAGCATTTAGTTAGTACTTCATTAAGCAAGTACTAAAATAAATGTCCAGTAACTACTGCACATTAATGAACATATAGACGTGTACTATCAAACATATGCAAATAACTACCCATATATATTCAACTGCACTTTTTAATGCTCCTGATAGATAGCTTTTCTCATCTACAGTTGATACGATTCATGCTTCCCTTCCTGAATGCCAGGGGCAAAATATCCAGCACTTTTAACGGTATGTCAACATCCTTCTTAGAGATCTGTTGTATAGCTGATTTTTCCATTCATTTTCTTCAAAATCCTCCTACATTGAGGGGCAGCACCTGTAACTCTCTCTTTAGAAGGCAGACAGAATTGGGAGGAAAGACCAGAATTCAATGGAGCACAAAAAAGCTGACCAGCTGGAACACAGTACTGGAAGAGCATTAGGAAAAGGTTTCAATGGGAAGGGTGCGGGAGGAGTAGGACTGGAAGATGGTGCTGGGCAAAAGAATAGGGGGCTATAACAGCAGTCTATAACAGCAGATACTGGCCACTACTGAGGGCAAAATCCTGGACTAGCCATAGAAATGAACTGCTGAAGAATGATAACGTCTATGCATATATTTAATCAAAATATAGTACTCCTATCAGCAATGCAACTATGTCTGCATCTACATACTGCCTATGAATATGCATGCCTACATCCTTTAACTGAGAATATTGCCAGCTCCTATGGGTTTAAAAGGCAATGGAGCTTAATAGGTGCCATTTGCTTAGCTGGCAAATGTTACAGTGTTTAGAAGTTTTCCTCTGAGCTATTATCCAAACTAGAGCATTGCCACAGCTGTTTATTTTACTTTTATTATAAAAGAGATTATAGACAATGAGCTAGTCACATCTTATCCTCATCAGCCTTATCTTAAAAACCAAAAACCTGTGCACATGAACAATACAAGTGAAATTTGATGTTTCAGCTGCAAAAATAATATTGAAAAAGTATAGCTGTCACCCTCCCCACAATACGCATTTCTTATTAACATCACAGACATAGTATCAAAAGCATTTAATATGAATGCAGTCATTAGCTATAAACACAGATCTGATGCCACTTTACATATTAAAAGATCTGCTAAGCTTCAGTGAATCGATATTATGCTCATCTACGACCCAGCTAGATATTATTTGATTATTTACTCTGTATAGCATTAAAATGCTGAAATAAGAGACCACAGAACAACAACCAATGGAAGAAAAGGATAAATGAAAAAATTACCTGATAGTTTTGATCATGCTGAGTCCCATTTCAACACAACAGTGTGCATGGTCTTGGCGTGGTTCTGGGAGCCCAGAAACACAGTAGTAACAGTCCCCCAGGATCTTAATTCTAAGGCAATGATGTTCCTAAATTAAATGTGTTAAAAGAAAAAGATTTAAACAGTCAGGAGTAATAAAAAGATGATGACGTGAGTGGCATAAAAAAAGACTGGAAGGAAATTTAAATTCTTTTCAGTGTATATTTTTTCTCTATGTAATTAATAATATTCAGCTTTCTTGTAATTTGTCTATTCTTACAGCAAAAATATATATTTGATGAACTTTCTGGTGTGTGTGCTTGTCTGCTAGGACCTTACTGCCGATGCGAGTAGCTTTTGCTGGGGATGGATCGGCAGCTAGGCAGCAATCTAGAAACTGTGCAAGGGGATAATGAGAAGGGCACCTAGAACAAATTTTTTGAGACTACAGGGCCAACACCCACTCAGTGGGCCCCCATTGATACTAATGGACTCTGGATTAGGCCTATATTGTGGAGAAAGGATGCTTTGGGTTACTGGTACAACAAATATTTGCTTGGCATTCCACTAGAAATGCTCTTTACTCTCAGGAGGAAATATAGTATTTCACCCTTTATAACTGCCTTACATAGTATAATACAGTGTTTTTGGGTCATTACTTTAGAATCATTTTTTTCCTTCTAAGGTCCCAACCCTCAGATATACCCAAGTATACAACATTTCCACTCTCTACTGCAGGAGTTAGAACAAAATCCAATCCTATGAATAAAGCATCCATCCCAGTAAAGTACTTACGCTCATATTTTCATAGGTTTCATAGATTTCATAGACATTAGGGGTGGAAGGGACCTCGGAAGATCGAGTCCAGCCCCCCGCCCGAAGGGCAGGAAGTTAGCTGGGGTCATAGGATCCCAGCAAGATAAGCATCCAATTT